AATGGATGGATGGATGGATTTATTCATACATTTGGAAATTGATTTTTACTGTACCCTTATTATTGAGTGTGTGTTCAGTATTTCATTTAGTTTCTTTGCTTTAATGATTGTTTGTTTAATTGTTTGTTTTAGGTCATCACTAGTTAATGATGCAGCTTTTTAAACACTGCTTCTTGATATTGTAGTGTCATCTTTAACTGTGGGAAATTCTCTGCTGACTTTCATTACATTTTACAATAAAAATAAATGTGAAGGCAATAAATATGTGTATGTAAATACAATAAAGCTCATGATGACTGTTACATATGGGATCAATTTACTGAAGACTGTTCATATTCAGTCATTTAAAGACAGTTGAACTTCAGCATATGCAGAATATGCTATTTTTAATAATACTTATTGCATCAGTATGTGCTGAGTCAATATTTAAATGCACCATCTGGTGCTGCCAGCATCAGCGGATTAACAATAACACTTTATTTAATGTTTGTTCCGTCAAAATACTGCGATTCATTATGACTGTCTGTCCACAATCTGCAAAGTGTCTTTGATTAAAGGTGAAGTGTTAAAAAAATGTCCTTCAGACAATAGAACAGATTTGTCTTTATTTATTTTCTTTCATATGTCATTGGTATCTTATCTCATGTTACAGACAGAGAGCCAACAAAGAACATGTGAACAGTGCTGGGCTGCAGCTCAGTTTGCAGACTCAACAGTTTAGCCTTTAGCCTATTGGAATGATCTCGGTGGTGCATGTGCATGAAGCAGGGCACCAAGCCTTCACCAGCTCATTACTGCATCCAGTGGTGTTTTTCAAGATTGGACAGTTGATGTAATGGTCTATATATGGACAGGGGTTGTCTAAAAATAAAATAAAGCAATGATTAGCTCATCGTCTTCATTATCAGCAACACATTTTACCTGCCCAGTAATTAAACACCACATTTGTAATACATTTACTTACTGCAGAGTTTGTCCACGCAGTTGTTAGGACAGGAGCCACATGGGGATCCAGGTGTGTAAGGCGGCCATCGCCTGAAGTTTCCTCTGTTAAATAAAACAGTTTATTACAATTATTTCAGCTTAATAATTGTAATTTCGACTCTATTTTTTGTTTTGTCTGAGCACATATGTGTGTATTTACATATATATTCATATTTGTACATGTAAATGCAAGTATGTGTACTTGCATATATCGTTTTTTCTGTATATGTCTGAAATAAAGATAAAGATACAAAGTGTGCTCCACCCTCAAACTTCAATTTATTTCCATCGCTGTTAAGATTGCTAACAAAGTGACATGTAAAATAAAGCCACTGTAGGCTTTACGGGTGTGAAAGGTGTCACCTACGCGCGATAATAATGGCAGCCATAGTAATAGATGTTGTTAGGGCACAGCGTTGCTCCACAGCCAACTTTGTATGAGCTGTTCCATATGACCTGATGAGAAAAACACAAAGCCGTTGGTTTTAGAGATACTCCAGTGTTGAAATAGCTACTGACTGCTCAAATATGAACAAAACTCATTTATGTTTGTCCTGTTTTAACATTGCTAATTCTTGGCTGCCTGCAAACATTTGGGCACTACACTCTGCAAGTCAATTTGTATTTAAAGCACTACATTTGTTTTAGTTAAGAGACAAATTTATCTTCCTAAAAACACAGCGCCTGTTTAAAAGTGATTAAACAACTGCTTTTTGAAATATAAAAATTTCATTTTTCTAAATAGGTTTGGATTCTCTTTTTGAAAGCAGGAAGGGCCACTCGTCTTGAACATACAATCCACCATAAAATGAATACTTAGTAATGAGAAAGACACAAACAGAGTCCTTCGTCATGACATCAAAAGCATCCTGCAGCTCAGATAGCAACATTATACTTTTATTCAACAACGATAAAACTAGAAGGAATTTTTCTTCTTAATCATTTAGACTTCTCTTATCACTGTCTGCACTTTCTACTTAATTCATGTATTTTGCATAATGTGAGCCAGAGTTCTCATGTATCGCTTCGATCAGCCAGTCATTAGGCAGTAGTTAAGTGCGTCA